ATCGAATGTTAGTTTACAGTGCTATACGCACTACCCCACGTACCCCCCAATATTGTGATCATGTTGAGGCCTTTAAACCTGTGATGGCTGGTGAGAATGTAGCCAGGCCAAAGCAAACAGTATGAGGGCTGGTGAGAATGTAGCCAGGCCCAGTGTGAGGTCGCACGCGTCTTTGGATTAGCCGGCGTGTTGACAGACCCCATATGTGGCCGGGTGCGTCCCGACGTATGAGGGGAGATATGATTGTGTGAGGGCTGGTGAGAATGTAGCCAGGCCCAGTGTGAGGTCGCACGCGTCTTTGGATTAGCCGGCGTGTTGACAGACCCCATATGTGGCCGGGTGCGTCCCGACGTATGAGGGGAGATATGATTGTGTGAGGGCTGGTGAGAATGTAGCCAGGCCCAGTGTGAGGTCGCACGCGTCTTTGGATTAGCCGGCGTGTTGATAGACCCCATACGTGGCCGGGTGCGTCCCGTCGTATGAGGGAATTTTGTTGTGATTGTGTTTGGTGAGTTGTGATGGATAAATCCTAGAATGTATGAATTTGTATGGCCGTAATGATTTATTTGATATTAGGAGCCAGGATATATATGAAAGAGCTACGTGTGGCTTGATCCCTTAGTAGGGTACGTAGGCAGCCTGAAGTTACTAGGTGCAGCCACAGATTAGACCCCACTTAGGTGGTCTTATTGAGATTGGTTTGAACCTCGCTGTTGGTCCCAAAACTTGGTTGAATTGAGGTTTGTCCTGGGGACTAAGTGAGTGAAGGTGTGCGTAAATAGATTTTGAATTTGTTATATGCATGTTTGATGCATTAAGTCATTTTTAAACATTGTGGGTAGTTCTGCTAGAATCATTTGAAGGCCGGAGGCCAATTGTGTAAATTGCATGAAATTATATTGTGCGTGCTGCCGGTTGGGTTATAAAATGTGTTGTATGCAGGTGGAAATTTTGGGGAAATGTTCAATTTACAGGGGAGATCCTGCCGAAATTTCGGCAGGAAGTCTCGTGCCCTTAATCCTCTCTGGTAAACGAGGACATAGATTTAAGGAGTGAACCCGGCGTGGGTGTGATGCTGGGGTCTCCGCAGGGTTCGTCTCGGGTTCCGGGAAATTCGGGGCGGGTCCTGTCATGGGTAATAGCATATTTGAGTATATATTTCTGATACCATTGGAAACAAGAAAAAAAAAGAAGCTAAAATGTAAAATTACTACGTCAATTTTACAGTTAATAGACCACAGTTTTGTTGAAAAAACCGTCGTCTTAGAGTTAATAGACTACAATATTTCAAGAAACCGTTGTCTTCACAATTAATAGACGACGGTTTTTTAACAAACCCGACGTCTTTGGATATAATAAATGACAGTTCTTTCAACAACAAAAATAGTCGTCTTTACATTTAATAGACGACGGTTTTGAGTAAAAGCGTCGTCTTTAAAAATAATAGACAACGGGGATTTACCGTCGTGGTTTTATGCATCAAAAGATGTCGGTCGATTTCACGACGGTTAAAAAACCGGATATACGACGGTGGATTACCGTTGTCTATTGCAATTTTTGTAGTAGCGGGCCAGCCACCACCGCCATCAACCTTACCATTCTTAGCCCTCAGTTCAAGAACTTACACAGCTTTGTTTCATCGGGACTGAGGGCTAAATCAGCGAGGCACATGGCCTGACATAAGAGTGGGAAATGCTGGCCACGTTTGGTACGTATTTGCCATTGAAAATATTTTTTTTAGTGTCATTGTTAAGACAGCGGTGGTATACAGTAGAGTAAGACGGAGAAGCAAATGGAGAAGCCGGCCCTCTTGAATCAAAGGAATCATAGTAAACAATGTTCCAAGCTGGCTCTCTCTATATATATAGACTCCTAGCAACTCTTTTACAGCCCAACCCAAGAAACACAGAGTTTATACTTCATACTCAGAGGAAGAAGGTGAATAAAAATGGCCAAGGCCGGTAGCAAAATGGCACTAATTCTTAACGTGATTCTAGTGCTCTCTCTTGTTCTAATGATTTCCATAGCTGAGAGTAGACAACTTGGCACTAACAGTAAGAATTATTATCTTAACTTAATTCCTTATTTCCCTTTAAATGATTTCTTTTTAGTTTCACATCAATATATATGAAGAAAAAAATTGTTAGTTTTTCATATCTAATACATGCATTCATGTTTGCAGCTGGATTTGGAGGGAAAAAACCTGTCGCAGTTTGCTTTGCAGTTTATGGTGCACAGGAGGGTGATACGTGTACTTCTGTTAGCGAGATGTTCAATTTGAGTTTTGATTTCTTCCTTTCTATCAACCCTAATATCAACTGTGACGACTTCTTTGTGGGTCAATGGCTTTGTACTGCAGGGAGTGCCAACTGAGCTGCAAGTTGCAACAGATATTGATCATGGTCAATTGGGGAAACACTTAATTGCACTAATAAAGAGGATGAGAGCTGTGTGATGTCCTCCTAATGTATTTTCATTACTTTGTCAATTAAAGATGGACAATTGTTATTATTGGCCATCAGTGTTTAGTGGTGTTTTATGGTTTCTTGTTATGGTTTCTTTCCTCACCTTGTCATAACTACGGTGATTAGGGAGAATGGGGAAGAAGCTCAAGCTTTGATTTTCGGAAATTTTGAATAATGAAGTATTACATTCAGTTTGATTACTAACAATTAGTTCAATACAGCTAATTCGAACAAAAATAAAAACACACGTAATAGTTATGTTCATTTGCATGTATCAAACCTCCCAACATAATTTTACCACCATTAATTAAATAATGAGGTTTTATTATTTTAGATTTGACCCATTCGAGACGCAGTGTATCTTAATTACAATCTCTTGCTTCAAGGGAACACCCTTTGATTCCATCATAAAGAAACAGAACGTATGTATTTGGTTTTCCGGCTACTCCCAAGTCCAACCTCATGGTGCTTACGTATCTCTTGCGAGAATCACGTCATCACTTATAGTTCAAAGATTTGCAATGAATAAATGACTTATTGCAAAAAGGAGAATTTGAATGAATTTGATTGAAAAAGTGTTTGAGTGAATTTAGCTGAATAAACTAGGGATTTGATTTTGATGTGTGTTTGGGGTGAATTTGGTTAAGAATAAACCAGAGATTCTCCTTGGATTTGAGATTTGAAGAATTTGGTTTATGTAACTAGAGATTCAAATTTGGTTGTGGATTCGTCTATTAAAATGCTAGACTGCTTACGTACCTTTAATGGGATCAAACCAACGTAGTTCGGAATTTTGCAAATTAATGGGTAAGTGTGGCCCAATAGTTTAAAATTTGTGTCTTTGAGACAATTTGGAGATTTTCATAGGTAGATGACTTATGGGGAAAATTGGAAATTAATAGGTAGGCCCACTAATTGGGAATTTGTGTTTGAGATATTTGAATTTAATCTCATTAAAATTTGCATGGGTGGATGACCCACAGAAAAATTGGAAGGCTTTATGCCATTTTTCTTATTGTCAATGTCAAAGAAAAAGAATGAGCAATTTTGATGAACTCACTAATTTTCTAAAATTGACATTTACA